CCAGACAGACAGAGACAGAGAGACAGAAAGTGAGAAATCACCCCCAGGGAGGATGGCCATGCCGCAATCTCTTCTCCTCCCTTCTCCTCTCGGGATCATGGGCACGCACACACACGTGCCCGGCATGAGTTTTAAGTCACCGGGTCCAGGACGCAAACCGCAGTCGACTACATGGGAGTCCAGCGACACAGCCGTTACGCTAACTGCTGGTCCCTCAATTTTGAGATGGCTTTTCAACGATCGCTAACGTCCTACTGATTGAGAAGGAAAGCAATGAGCTCATCCAGCTGAGACTCACAAGCAGGTCCTGATTACTACGTGGGATGTGCGGAAAGTTTTGGGGTCTTTAAAAAGGATTAAATGTGTCCTGGAAGTAAGGGCATGAATGGCCATCTAAAAGTACCAGAGCAATTAGGCAGAGATAATGCTGACCCTGCCCCACACCATCTTACCAGCACAGCCGGCAGTCACCTGGTGGCTGAGAATGCTGCCTTAACGTGCTTCATGGGAGCCAGTCAGAGCTCTAAGAACAACCCTCTGTAGCTTGCAGGGAGGGGTTCAGTGCCAGGCCCTGTTTACATACTCGCAGATCAGAGGCATCCTGGTTTTGGGAAGTCACCACCAATACATCATCATTTTATTTCTAGGTACTAAATATGTGTTGGTAGATGGGGACCCAGAGGATGGTGTAGTGGTTACATTGCCGGACTCTAACATCACCAACCGAGGTTCGAGTCCGGACCAGATGGTTTGAAAAACAAGCTGGGTGCCCAAGATCCTGGGAAAAGAATGAAGAAGGAATAATGGCATGGCCATCCCTCCTAGGGGTGATTTCTCACTCTCCCTCTCACTGTTTCTGTCTCTCTTTCTCTCTAGCAAGCACACAAGCGCCAAAGCAAAAACCTCTTAAAAAGGAAGTACTGACTGGCAGGACGCGCAGATGGGCTCAGATGGGTTAGATCTCTTGTCTAAGGCCACGGAGCGGACGAGAGGAGGCTCATTTACCTGTGCTATCATTTTCTCCATCTCGGCTTGGCCTCCTAGATGCTGAAATGGACTCTTCTTACTGGACAGGGTATGGGAGTGGGGAGGGGAGAGGCACCAGGCTGATCTCATTGCTTCAGCTAAAGGTCACGGCATTTCCGCACTGTCGGCCTTACATGCTGTCCTTCGGGCTCCACCAGAAGAAGCCCTCCCCCACCATGAGCCGGCACTTCCTTTACAGTTTGGCACCTCATCTCGGGGGCCCCCCTATATCAGCTGCTGGTCAGCTCCTCACCCAAACCTTCCCAGGAGGGACCTCAGACCTCCTCCGGCACCCTCAAGCTCTCATCTGCTCTTGCCCCTTGACCCCATTAGGTGACCTACTTTCCAACTGCTTTAACGCAGATTATCAACCACAAAGTCCCACACGGCCCATTCTTCCCAAACCCCCTTGATTCCTTATTGCCATGACATGATCTTCTCCTGGCTCCTCAGAACTGCATACAGTTCCACTCCTTCTTTCTTGTCCTGATTTTCCTCAGCTCCTCTTCCCTTTAATGCCAGCAGGACCCAAGACTTGGCTCTTTTCTCTTCACCCTGTTTACAAGCTCCTAGACCAGAGGCATACTTACTTTTGGAAGTCACCAATACTTTAAAGAAGCTTATAATAACTAAGAACTCCCTCCTGTAAAAATGCGGGCCTGGACAAAGCACCCCAGCATTGGGAGCTCGTGGACCACTGAAATGCAGGCCAAGGCCCACCCCCTGCCATTTCATCCTGGCCCCCTGTTCCAAGAGCGCTTCTGCCCTTTCACCTGCTGTCATGGAGACCCTCCATCTGTACGCTTGTCCATTCAACACGTCTAAGCTGAGACTCACACCTCCCTTCCCCTGGGTCCTCATTCTGGGACTCTCATTTCAGCAGCACTGACCCTCCCCACCTGTAGCCCACAACACACCAACTTCAATGAAGTTCTTCAGAACAAGTCCAAAAGCTCTTAACTACCCTCCACAGCAGTCAGCCTGAGCACTCTGAAAACAGAAGGTGGACCAAGCCCCCTACTTCTGACTCTGCACTTCAACCCCTCAGAGACTCCCACCCCCCTGGCATAAGAAGCAAACCCTCTGCAGTCCTCTCTGCCTCTCTTCTCTGTCCACCCACTGCCCAGTACCCGTACTTCCTCCCATTGGCCTCTCCATGGTTCCTTCCATGGAGACCTTCCCAACCATGTAATAAAACCAGCTCCTCCCTCCACTGGGCCTTGCTTCAGCCTTCCCAGGGCTTCCTCAGGTCACAACCCCTGTAACTCCGTGAGGGGTTACCACCTGCTGGTCTCTCCTGACACCTCTCAAGCAGGGTCAGGTCTAGATATTTTGAATCCCCAGTGCCCAGTGCAATGTCTGGTGAAGAAAGCCAAAGAAATCTTAGCTTAATACATAATGTTAACAAGGAGTGGTGAACCCAAAAGAAAAAAAATCAGAACTCCAAGGGATGCTGTCCTCTCTGAATTTAAAATAGGCTTTTATGAGTGATGGCTGAGAAGGTAGCAGCGAGGTCTACTCTATCCCACAGGGCAGTAATGACACTGAGGGTTATGGCAATCTTTGCTTTGAATGATAAAAAGATCAATCTAAAATTTAAATGAGGGGAATTCATTATATATACACACACACACGTATATAAAAACGTTCCTCTGTAAGTCTTTGCTCCATAATTATACCTTCTCTATCGCTTAACTTCAGAAACGGGACCTCTGCCTCCAGGGTAGAACACAACAAGGAATTCGAGTATTAAACTTGCTTCTAAGTATCATCTCTTTAATCTAGCCAATTTAACTGTCTGAGAAACCGAGGCTTCTGTGCAAGAAAGAAATTCCATCACGTACATCGTCTATTAGCTGTTCAGAGTATTCTCTCTCCTTCTTTTCCACGTCGGCCAGGGTGATATATGCAGAGTCAGCAGCGCCCAGCATTTCTGTGTTTGACAATCTGACCTGAAGTCCTTTCTCTAATTCCTCCAACTCCTGGGGAAAGTATAGGAGAAGAAAAAAGAAATCAAAGGAGAAAAACAAATAAAGCTTAATAGAAAAATACTTGTATTTTTCACCCCATTCTCATGATTTATTCTCCACCACCAGGATACCACAATCCACAGATGGTCAAGTCTCTTTTTTATAACATGATGTAATATTTGCATATAACCTAATACGCCCTCCCATGTATTTTATTATTTTTTAACATTTTTTAATTTTTAAAGAATTATTTATTTTATTTCATGTATTTTTGTTTGTTTGTTTTAATTATACCATAGAGAGACAGAGAGCAAAAGTGGGAAAGCGAGCTGCCAGGTCCAGGACTTGAACCATGGTTGGCCATGTGGGAGTCTCGTACCTCAAACATCATGCCACCTACTGGTCCCAATCTTTTTTTTTTTTTTTTGGAGAGATTTTCACTGTAGGGCGTGTGCGCTCGCCAGACAGACAGAGAGAGACATAGAGACAGAAAGCGAGAAATCACCCCCCAGGGGGGATGGTCATGCCGCAATCCCTTCTCCTCCATTCTCCTCTCGGGATCTTGGGCACGCACGCACACGCGCGCGGCGTGAGTTTTAAGCCACCGGGTCCGGGACACGAACCGCGGTCGACTACGTGGGAGTCCAGCGACATAGCCACTACGCTAACTGTTGGTTCCCTGGTCCCAATCTTTTTTAAAAAATATTTTGTTACTTATTTATTGTGGTGATTTTCAAGCTGCCAGATCCAGGACTTGAACCAGTCAGCCATGTGGGAATCTAGCACCTTAACCACCATGACATCTGCTGGCCCCAACCTCATCATCCTTAGATTACTTATCAACCTGATACAATGTAAATGCTATGTAAATAGTTGTTACACTGTATTGGTTTTAAATTTTTAATGTTGTAATTGTTATTCAAAATTTATTTTTTCTTAAATATTTTCAATATATAGTTGGATTAAGTCCAAGGATGTAGAACTCAGGAGTACAGAGGGGTGACTATATTTCTTTTTAGATTTTTGCCACAGGGCACATGTGTTTACCAGGGACAGAAAGATAGAAACAGAGAGGAAAAGTAAAAAATCGCCCCCCCAGAGAGATGACCACATCACAGTTCCTTCTCCATTCTCCCCTCGGATTTTGGGCACACATGCGCACATACTCAACATGTTTTTCAAGCCACCAGGTCCAAGACTCAAATTGCAGAGTTGGCCATGTTGGATCCAACACTAACCACCACACCACATGCTGGCCCTGTATTTCTTAATAATAATTAAATGCTCTGGGCATTGTCCTACTTAAGTTTGGATGATAAAAATCTATTTTTCTCGTTAAACACAGATAGTGCCTGAAGCCAGATGGTAAGACATGACACTCCATGAGGTAATCCCACGTGGGAAGATTCGCAGTTAAAGTCTGGAGGGCTTGCTGAGTTCCCTGGCCACGCACTGGCCTGCGATCTGGGGCTGGCTGAGGCTGGGGTGAAATCCTGTTGTGGGTGCTCACTTGCTGCCTCTCCCTATTTCTCTGCTCTCTCTAGCTCATGAAACAATGTTTCCTCAGGAGTAATGGGTTTTCTTCTACATCCTTCCTCAAACAAACAAACAAACAAACAAACAAACAAACAAAACACAATGAAATAGAGCCAGTAGGTAGCATAGAGATTAAAGTGACTAGATCCTACATGGCTGACTGCATGGTTCAAGTCCGAGTCCTAGATCTGGTGACTTGAAAAACATGCCAGGCACATGTGTATGCATGCCCAAAATCCTGAGGGGAAAATGGAGGTGAAGAGATTGCTGTATGGCTATCCCCCTGGGGTGATTTCTTTCCCTCTCTCTCTCTCCATCTGTCTGTCTCTCTCCAGCAAGTGTATGCACACTATATCAAAAACTAAAAACAAATAAATGGTATCTTTTAATCATTTTGAAGTCCTAGAAAATGACATGACATCCAGGGGTTGGAGGGAATATTTCTTCCCCACTCTTCTGGTTTCTGTGAGGAAGGATCACTCACTACACCCCAGTGATCCAAGCAGAGGCCAAGTGTGACTTCTAGTTCTCATAGCACCTTTGCGAGAGAAATGATGGCTCTTTTCCAGATAAAGAACCTGAGAGATGGGAAGTTAAGATTATTTTGCTCAAAGTCTACAGGCAGGAAGTAGCAATGTCAGGCTTGTCCCCAGCCTTCCAGTTGCATGCATCATATTGGTCCTGTCCAAAGAGCAGCTGACATTGGTCAGCATTTCTTGTCCTCATTCTTAAGTTCTGAGGCTGCTGTTAAATGCAATTATGCATTTAAAGCATTTGTCAGACTGCCTCAGTAAATAGTAGATACTTGCCCAAGGTCAAACAGCTCTGTAAGAGAGAGAGGAGGGTAAAGATTTGAGCTGAGGCCTGTGGAACGCAAAGCTCTTCTTTCCACAGGGCATACTGCATTGTTTCATTATTACATGAAATACTAATGAATGATTGTATAGTAACATTATTAATAACAAATCATGATATAATAAATAATGTAATCCCCGTTATCATTATTTATTTTTTTTTGAGAGGTTTTTGCTATAGGGCACATGTGCTTGCCAGACAGAGAGAGACAGAGAGACAGAAAGCGAGAAATCATCCCCTGGAGGGGATGGTCACACCGCAATCCCTTCTCCTCCATTCTCCTCTCAGGATCTTGGGCACGCATGCACACGCGCCCGGCGTGAGTTTTAAGCCACCAGGTCCAGGACATGAACCGCAGTCGACCACGTGGGAGTCCAGCGACACAGCCATTATGGCCACTGCTGGTCGCCATTATCATTATCTTTACCATTGGGAGGCTATTTAAACTCACTGAGTTGTAGTTTCTTTAGTTCGTAAAAGAAGCAGTAATGATGGCCACACACAGGGCTGGCAGGGAGATGAAACGGGGTAACGTGTGGCCAGCGCTGAGTACACTGCCTGACGGTGCTGTGGCTGGGGTTGTGCTCAGGGTGACAATGATGGTGACACACTGCCTCCTTAACTGGGATTCAGGGAGGAACCCTTCCCCACAGAAACCCACGTGGGGAAGAGACTTTTCCTCCCCAACCTCTAAATCTCATGGTGGTAATAAGAAGGATGACGGCGATGGTGAAGATGAAGATGGTGGTGGCAGCCATGAGGA